TTTTCCAATTCTTTATTTTCAACTCTGGCATCCCCTGGAATTGCAATCTCAATGATCCAGACATTTCTTCATTCTAGTACTATTATGTCTGGTGTGTTATGTTCAAAGTGTCTATCATTTTGGATCCAGAAATCCTACAAGATCTTGGCTTCCTCATTTTCTGATACATTCTCTACCTGAAGTTCTCATGGGTTTTTGGAGGCTGGCAAGTTATAAATTTTTGCCTATTGATCAGTGCACTAATTTTGCCACTCTATCATGTCTAACTTTGTAATCTGCTTGTGCAATCTTTGGACATTCACAGATGGGGGTGATACAGTTTCATCCTTTTCTTGGCAGAGTCAGCATTTTCTGTTAGCACTAATTCCTTGGATCTTAGCTTTCATTACATTGGTTTGGAGTGCTTGTTCTTGTGCAGCAAAGATGATCATGTTTTCCATCAATATTTCTCAGGTGTTATCCTTCTAGTGGTTTATTTTTCCAGCTGTTTAATTTATTTTCAAATTGTTGTTTCTTATATTGAGCCTTTGTTTCTGTTGTTTTCAAAATATTCTCTGTTTTCATGGCCTTAAGTAATTTTTCTCTGCTTGTACTGATATAATCATTTAGGATTCTTTTTTCCTCGTAGCTGCTGTATTTGCAGTAATCCACAGCCTCCAATTTTTCATGGTAAATATATTCTGTCCATATCACTTTTTGGATGTAGTGTGTGATGCATGTTCATTTACATGTTTTTTGATCCAATTCTTCTAATTCATTTTGAGTCCAATCTACTATTCCATCTAGGTATCTAATTACCAGAGCTGGCCATGTGTTTATGGTTTTGATTGCTTTTCCAACATTTAATTTTGATTTTAAGATTTTCTGCAGTCTTTTGATATATTCCCTTTCTGTCAGTTCTTTAATTTTTGTGTGCATAATGTTATCTGGTTCTAGTATTCCCAGGTATTTATAATTTTCATCACTTGATGGTGATTTTATAATATTGCTATTTTTAACTCTATTCCACCTAGTTTTTGGATCTTGCCATGGTGTATAGACAAAGCTGTACATTGGTGAATCCCAAATTTCATTTGGATAGCTTCACTGTGTTTAGCAGTGATTCTATCTCCATGGAACTTTTTGGCATATAGTTTTAGATCATCTATGTATAAGAGGTGATTAATTTTTCTTGCTTGTTGTGAAATATGGTAGCCCAATCCAGTTTTATTTAAAAGTATTGACATGGGGATTAATGAGATGTTAAACAGCAGTGGTGACAAAGAATCCACCTGAAATATGTATCTTTTGATGCTAACTTCCCCAATTTCTTCCCCGTGGGCCAATAAGTCAGTTTCCCATTTTTCCATGTTTTTCTTGAGGAACGTCTGAATGTTTTTACTAATCCCAAACATTTTTAGGCAGGTGTTAATCCAGCTGTGTGACAATGAGTCAAATGCCTTTTTAATAATTTATCCAGGCTACGTTATGGTTTGGGTTTTTTTTGTCTTTTTGCATTCTTCAGGATCATTTCATCAATAAGCAGCTGATCTTTTGTGCCTCTTGACTTTTTAAAATTTTGTTTCTGTTCAGTTGACTATAGGGAGTTTTCAGTTAAGTAATTATATATTGATCTTGCAAGAACTCCTGTGAGGAGATTGAACATTGTTGGAAGGCATGTAATTGGTCGATAATTACTGGGTTCATTGCCCATTTGATGATCTTTTATTATAAGAAATGTGCAGTCTGTTCTCATCCAGTCTTCAGTTTTAGAATGTTGAAGTGAGTGGTTAAATTGCATTGCTATATGTTGATGGAGACTTGTTAGAGCATCAACTTTACATAGGCCAAATTTCTTTGCCCTGCATTTTCTCCTAGTGATGATGATGATGATGATGATGATGATGATGATGATGAAGATGATGATGAAGATGAAGATGATGATGATGATGATTGAGCCTGGTTGGGTGTTAAGATAATCAGGAGAGCCCTGTCTTTCAGTTCCACCACAGGTGTTTGGTGGGGACATGGGTGAAGACCTTCTCTGTTGCTGCACCTGGACTTTAGAATTCCCTCTCACAAGAGGCCAGGATGGTCCTGTCTTTGCTGTCCTTCTGCCAGCAGGCAAAGACAAATTTTCCATTACTGACTGGCTAATTAAGTGGGGTGTTCAAAAGGGTTGTCGTGCTTTTCTGTTTCCTGTATTTTTGGTGTTGCTTTTGTTTACTGTTTTCTTGGTGAGATACTTGTTTGATTCTTCCTATTATTTGTATACTTACATTTTATTATTTGCATACTTACTGTTTTCAACTTTAAATATTGCATTCTAACAACATAAACTGCTTTGAGTAATTTTTATGGAGAAAGGTGGAATAAAAATAAATAAATAAATATGTTTATATTAAGTTGTTCTCAGTGAGATATAATCCTCAGCAATAGACTGGAACAATCCTTTTGCAGGACATAAAGAGAAAGAATCAGAAAAGTGACACACACTTCTCAGTTACTTACCGAAAGATCCAGCATGCCATTCTTGTGGACAAAGTTGCTGGTGCCATCTATGTGGTCTGTATCCTCCAGGCAGCTGTAGTTGATACAGGAATCTGTCAAACTCCGGGGGAGATTGGCACATGCCAGAGGCTCATGGGGCATCTCTGGTATGGGCACTTGGTTACAGAGCTTGCGCATGTGCTCACTGAAGAAGTCAGCATAGCCCACATTGAAAGAGGCCAGCGTCGTATTGAAGGTTGCCACTGTGATGGTTGAGATTTGGGAACGCACTATGCAGAAGTACAACAGATAATGTTAGTCTCATGAGAGAGAAAATTTAATAGGAATTTGTCATCTAGCATAGACTTCCACTCATAATGCTGCCATTGGTTCTAATAAATCACACATCTGTTCACGCTTGAGAACCAGGTAGAAGAAGAAAGGGGAAATTGTTCCTTTTTAGGAATCTTCTGGCATCTAGCATAGTTCTTACTTAAGGCAATCCACATAGATATGCCGAGGTCCCCTCGGAATTCTTTTACCAGAGGCAGGGCCTTCTCTATGCTGGCACCACCATACAGAATCAGCTCCCAGAGGTGTTATACCTGACTCCTTCCCTACTGTCATTTAGAAGACAACTTAAACATTCATTTTTAGGGAGGCCTTTCATATCAACCATGGTTGACAGTCTGTTTACTTCTTGTCCTGCTGGCATTGGGAAACCGCCTGGTGTCATTTGGTTTTTATGCAGTTAGTGTTTTTAGCTTTTTTGTTCATTCTTCATGTAATCTATGTTTCAACTTTTTTAACCACCCAGAATAGTGTGTTTGCACTAACAGGATGGTAAACAAGCAAGCAAGCAAGCTGAGGGATAAATCCACCCCCCCTCCCAAATTCTACATTCATTTAATTATCAGAGGTTTTTTGGACTCAACTTCCAGCACTCCTCAGCTGGCATGGCCATTACCATGTTGGCTGAAATAGTCTGGAAATTTTCCTCTAAAAAAGTAACATTGCCAAGCTCTCCTAATTCTACATCCATCTTCAGAAATATATGCTTGGGGATGTGATTTTTCTAAATGAAACAGCTCCCAGTCCCATCCAGAACTGCTAGATAGCTCAGAGATTTAGGTCTCTGGCTGGGAAATCAGAGGTTGAAAGTTCAATTCCCCTCTGTGGCTCCTTGTCAGGGGCTAGACGTAATGATCTATAGGGTCCCTTTTGTCATTGCAATTCTAAAGTTAGATGGTGATGATCATGATCATCATCGTCACAATCATTATGATGTGGGACACACACACTCCAACTGAATTATGGGATCAGGAGTGGGCAGGAGGTAAAGCAGCTCCCTGTCATTTCCACACTGCTTCTTCAAACAGTTAGAAAAGTGCTCTATTGGACGACAGGGGTCATGAGGATTCCCTGTGACTCACAAAATAGCATGGGAAACAGGCTCTGACTGAGGTTGCTGCCTTACAGAACATATGGAGGTAGCCTCTGTCAGAACTCATTCCCCACAATGCACCCTTGTGAATTGCAGGGAATCCTCACAACCCAGGGGCAGGACACTTATCAGAGGGCACGATGGGCCTGAGCAGGAATAGCATGGAGGTGAGGGGCTGCCCGACCTCCTATCCATCTGAGGGCTCCCAGTCCCATAATTCAGCTTAAGAGGATTCTCACTGAATGAAGGGAATGGGAGTCTCTAATTCTGAATATCCCATCCCTACAAACTGTATGGCCTCCCTCCACTCTGGTATGAAACCTAGGATGCCTTACATGTAGCAAGATAGCTGATACAAGCATAGGATCTTTAGGAGTTTCCTGTGGGACTCTGAAGGTTACACATTCACAAGTCTTCTGCTTTGCTACTCCTACTGTATCTTTTAGAAAGAGCACATTAAAAAAAACAACAACCCATAATCTTAAGCGTCTTCAAATTCTCTTTCTGTGTGTAAAAGAGGTAATTTACTCACCTTCTGGGAATATAATCTTACCGTGACTGTTCGAGTGGTCTGGCAGGTCAGTAACCAAGGTATGATGCGAGTGGGAATGCCTTGCGCTCAAGCTCTCCATCTCTGTAGCCGTATCGGAGCTCCCCCGCCTGGTAAACCTCCCTGGAACAGGGAAAATAAATACATAATTTTCTTCGGAACACAGCATCATCCCAGAAGGTCTTTTTCCAACATGAGTAACAAAATAACAAAGTAGAATTGTGACACACAGAGGCTATATTTTTGTATACAGGGATGGGCAACATGAGGTCCCCCAAGGCCATTAGTTGTGGCTCTGGGGCCCCCCAGACCATCCACACACCCCAAAATATTTCTCATTAAAAAAATTTTTTTTACTCAGCCCTCCTTTTGACCTTGTGGCGGTGCTGAGGCAATTTTGCCATGTTTTGAAGGGCTGTAGCACCCCTGCAGCTGCCATATCCTACAAAATGTTTAATGTTTTAAATATATATTTTGGCCATTAGAACGCACAAAGGGCTTTTCCAATAAAATATACAACTTTATTTAAAGTTAAACCCATTTTTCAATCTACAGAAACCCACTATACCAGTCTTTACAATGCATAACCACTATATTTAAAAAAAACCTGAAATATGCAAATTATCCTTTTGGGCTAGCCCTTTTGGAAGGCAACCCTTGGGTTGTCAGGAAAATAGGGGAAATGGCCCTCGGCCCCAATGAGATCACCCACTCCCATCTGCAGTCTACTAGTTTCAAGCTGTGAATTTTTTTTTCTGCCTGACTGGATACATCCAATGTGGTGACATAAGTTAAGTTGACTTGCTGCCATTATAGCAGTCACATCAGACACTGAGGGAGGCACGATTTCGAAAAAGCCTTTTCCCTTCCAATTCCAGGTCCTGTTTTAAATTGTGGGGTCAATTTATGTCACTGGACCATTGGCTAAATAAGATAAAAATATGAGCAATAAAACATTTCTGGAATCTGGGCATAACTGGGGCCAATTTTCAGATGAGGGAGGGATAGAACAGTTTACCACAATAGCGATGAAGCATGATAGAATTACAGTCTCTCTTTTACAAAGAAAAAGCTTGGAATTGCAATAAGCAGCTCACTGGCAACATTACTCATTGGAAACAGAAAAGCCCTAGAGGGAAAAATGGTAGATCACAAAAATGTCCAAACATATTCCCATTTGGGAGGAGATGAATGGCTCTGTGAGACTGGCAAGATAGCGTTGGAAGTAGCTGGGCCTCAACATTACTCATACAGTAAGACACAGCAATGAAAGTGTGATGTAACTCAATTTGAGGTATAGTGATCAGATCAATGAGATTTGTCTGAGAACATTTTGGTCCAGCTATCAGAAAACCATCTGTAAATTCAGCTAAATCCAATGCTCTGCTGGCTGAAAAGTCACAATATCATCACATCCTTCACCTCTTCCTCTCTGTGGCATTGAAAACCTACTCCAGAATAAGGCTTGGCCAAAACAAAGAGAATTCTGAATTATAAAAATCCATGCACATTTGTTTTGGCTTCTTTGAGTGCATCACCTGACTATCTCCTTCCCTTCTTTGTTCACACTTGAGTCCTCTTTATTTTGCATTGGAGAATAATTGGCCTCCAAAAGGCCGGCAGATGGCAAATTTTGTGGTTTTCATACACAGAGAGTCAGAGAGGAGAGTTAGCTTGCAAGGAGTTAAAGGAGGCAGTTGAGAATGTGGAACTTAGGGAGTTAAGTGTGAAACAAGTTATTACAAAACTATTGAATACTTTAAAATCATTGAAGAACTTGTTTATGTGAATTGTATCCAATAAACCTGTTTTGTTAACATTTACACGCAGTATGGATCTCAATCTTTCTAAGTAAAATATTGTTGACAGAGATCAGCTGGCGGCAGTGTAAAAGGGAACGTGGCATGGGCCTTAGGTTAGTGAAATAATCTGGGGACACTCAAGGGGCATGTCACAGGGTAATTAACTGGTGTCCATCAGACCCTCCCTGCTCTTTCCTACCACTTTACAAATGTTTGCTACATATTTATTCATTTTTATTGGAGGGACCAGACTAATCATTCATCTCATACACTCATGACCCTAAATGCTTTTTGAAAAATTAGTGAAGAAAGGATCTGCTGAGTGTTAAACTAAATTTAAGCTCCCCTTCCGTAGCCTATTCTCTGGAGCTGCTTCTGTGTATATAAATACCCACTTCCTATCCCTAGTTATTAAGCTCAGGCAGACAACATAAATGGACAGCCAATTTGAAGAAGTAGCATAAGGAATCACTCAACAACAGTGCAATTTCTTCAGCATTGCATTAGAAAGTATTACTGTGAGTTGTGAAGTTAATGAAGGACTCTTTTCTGGTTCATAAAAGAAACAACATCCTAGCTATGTGGGTGGGAAAGGTGTTGCCTGTTCACCTAAGATCGTGGTTTGCCACCCTCCTCTCTCCATGCCACGCCTATCTTCACCAATCCCAGAGAAGCTGCCAAAGGAGAATGTGCTCCGAGTTGGTGACACGTCCAAATGATCTTCATGGAGCAAGAAGGGGACCCCCATCCTCCTCTGTCGTTTCTTCCCTGTGTGGTGGAATGGAATAGAGCCTTTGCGTTCGCGATCTTCTTTGCGGCTCTTGAACTGCAGAAAGCACAGGAGAACAGATCTAAGCACCAGAGTTGGAGCAAGGTTACAGGAAAGTAAGCATGACACCACCTTCTCGGCGGTGGCTCCTCGCCTCTGGAACAATCTCCCTCCTGAGATCCACGTAGCCCCCACTTTGGACACTTTTAAAAGTCAATTTAAAACATGGCTATACATTCAGGCCTTCCCTCCAGTTAATATCTGACTTTTCTTTATTCTCTCCTTATGTATTTTCTATTCTATTGTTGTATTCTGTTTATTACAATATGATTTATGTAATTGTGTGTGTTTTTTTTATTATTTCACTGTTTTTACTATATTGGAAGCCGCCTAGAGTGGTCTTTTAGACCAGATGGGTGGGGTATAAATCAAATAAATAAATAAATAAATA